CTGCTGAAAAAGGAAGAAAAGGTTTAGCATTCAAGAGCAAGTCACCAAGCTGAAAGTGAAGCAAGAAGAGTCAACTCCACCAAAAGAGCTCCCCAGCCTAACATATCCTGGACTCAGAGAATAAATAGAGAGGCAAAACGAATACATAGATCCCTGGTTGCCCATAGACCATCCAAGGGATCCGGGAGCTTCATCATTGTCCAGGAAAGGCTTGAACATCGGGACCGAAACAGATTGGCTAAACTGGAATGAACCAACAAAGCCAGCAACATCAGCACCGAAGATGCAGGAAGTCCAGCAATTCCAGATTTCATAGGGACCAGAGGAAACCCGACCATCCAAGAACAGCCAAGAAAAGGATTTACACCAGAAATTCCTTAAAACGATCCACCATGCAACTTATCATAATTTTTCCAATTACCAATTTTAGCACGAATGGCAGAGGAGATAACTGTCTTAAGATAATCCGGAGAATTCCAGGAGTTAGAGAACCTCCTAACATTTCGTTCCCTCCATAAGTAATAAACCGCCACAGATATAGCCAAAAAACAACAATTTTTTTCCATAGCATTGAAGTTGGCATTGCAGTTAAAGTAATCAAAAGCCTGATAGAGATTAGGCCTAAAATAGAAGCAATTGAGAGCAGGCAGCAAAGAGGAGATAACAGAGAAGGTAAAATCACAGCTGAAGAAAAGATGAGAGTGAGACTCATTATGCCCCCTGCAAAAATCACAAATAGGAGAGGCCGGAATTCCCCTAACAATAAGCTTGTCAGCACATTTAAGCTTCCCATTGATAGCCATCCAAGCGTAACAAGCATACCTCAAAGCATTTTGTTTATGCCATATGAATTTAAACCAGCTAACATCATCCAGATTATCATAGAATTGCGAGGTAAAATTTTTAAACGAAGGTTTAGAAAAACCAGCCCAGTCCACACCATAAACCTCCTCCACCGAAATGGAAAGAATCTTTCGTTTGATATCTAAAGGCCAACCATCAGGTAAAATCCATGCCCCATTAGAAATGAACTCCATAACCTTACAACCAACCAATGCAGCATCATAGAAATGATTACCCAAAGAATCACCACAAAACCAAGGAT